CTGGCGGCCGTTCCGAGCCACGAACTGCGCCGTGAGCTTCACCACGTCCAGGTCGAAGGCGGAGATGGACGGAGGGTCCGCGATGAACTCGAACTCCGGGGGCGGCTCCTTCGGAACCACCGTCTCCTGGATCACCTGGGCCTGCACCTGCGGGGGAAAGGACACAGCTCAGTGAATTCCTGCAAGGAACCACTAGGAAACACTCAGGAGAACCCATTTTTCCTTCAGCTGCTGCAGGAAAGCAACACCGGTCAAGATATCCCGGTGGCTGTGCAGATGAGAAAAATCAGCAGCACAGGGTCTATCTGGCCCCCCGTATTTACACTACAGAAGAAAGGCTGCTCCAAGCTCAAACAAAACTGGAAACCATCAGGACTTCACTTTAACCCTGCAGGACCATCAGAACCACACAGTGTTTGTTGGCTGTTGGCCATGCCAAGCCTCGGGTTCAGTCCATGCCCTTTTCCCAGCCAGCCAGCACATATAAAGGCACAGCTGAACAAAGACGAGCAGCGTTTTGTTCTCCATCTTTTAAGGAGAAATTGATCCTTCTGGCAAGAAATGCTTCTACAAAACAGTGTGTGCAGCAAATCCAAACTGAACTCCCAGGGATGCCTCTGGCAAGAGGCCTAAACACATCCAGCCCAAGTGATCACTAAGTGTAAGCACTGTCCCAGTCAATACACAGATAAATGTAATTAAAATGGACCCATTATATACTGGTTCTTTCAAACACAACTCTAATAAGTTACCAGCACCTGGGGGATGCACATCTGCATCAAAACAAAGCCCAAGATGCTCAGCTCCAAGCCTCTCACTGCTGTCTTTTTGGCAAATGTAGAACCAACTCCTCCTCCTTGACTTTCAGGCCTGCTGCTCCACCCCAGGCTGTGACAACGCCCCTCAGCAGCCAAGTTCTTCACCCCAGAGCTGGAAGGAGCACTCACCTTCTGTGGGAGCTGCTGCTGGGCACTCTGCTGCTGCTGCATGACCTTGGGGATGGCAGCTGAGGGCTCCTGGGCCTTGCCCTCCTTGAACTCGCTGACCTTGTGCCGGTAGTAGGCATGGTAGGGGTCGTTGGGGTTCAGGAAGTTGAACTTTGGGTTATTTATCTCATTCTGACGAATTCGGGCCTCAAATTCTGGGCCGTTTCTGGGGAGGAAGAAGAGAAATTGTTGAAGTGAATGGGCATCAACTCAAGTGCAAATGTCTCTTTTCAGAGTGAGATGTGTGAAGGTATCAGCCTCTCAGCAGTTTTCTGTGCACGTGGGAGGAGTTTAACCCTCAGGAACTCACAGCCAGCACAGCAGCCAGCTGGATACACACAGCTTAAAGGCATCTGTCCTCCTAATTCTGTCTCTAATGTGAATATTCCTTAAGGCAGCTAAAAACTCACTCACAAGTGTCCCACAATCTCACCTGGCCTGCACATAAAGGCCCTTTCCTGGACTGACTGGATGAAGTTCACAAATTATTTACCAAACCAATTTTATTTGCTCTACTAACAATATTTTAAGACTACTTTCAGTTCCAGAAATATCATATAAGGGAAAAAAGCAGGAAACCATGAGGCTGTCCAGGGACTGACAACCCTGGAGTGCTACACTTAGGAGAGCCCCAGGCCAGGTACCACCCACTCCTCCCACCCAAAGCATGAGCTGTTTATTTTAGGGCAGTTTGGGAAAATTCCCTGCTGCCACAGTGTGTTTCTCTTCATATTCCCTGGATACCTCCCAGTCTTGTTTAGACACTCCACCTCCTCCTCTTTACAATCCCAAAGGATAAACACAGTCCCTTCCTTATCCTCAGAGGCAGCCAACACTCCTTGGCAGTGTTTGAGAGATGAGTTACACAATAAGTATCTTTGACTAGAGCAGCATTTACTAAATGTGTGTTCTCTTAAACCCACAACAGCCACCACTTTCAGCACTAAAACATGGCCATGACTCCTCTTGGCTCCATCACCTATAACAAAGCTTCCCTTTCCAGCTGGGATTTGTTTTCCCCCTCTGATCAGTCAGAACAGGCCCTGTTACTGGTTGTTGCACCACACACTGCACATTTTAACAAGAATTTTATTCATTTTACACCAGTTTCTCTAGTGTGTCTTACACCTCTTCAGTAGAATTCTGTTGTTTCTTTTCCAGTCCCACTGGGCCAGACTCAAACCTTAAAATCTCTTCACATAAAACCACAGCACTGTGACCTGTTTCAGCTCCTGGAGCTGCACTGAAGAGGAGGAGCATGAAAATCCCTGGAATCATCAGACCAGTGTCATTTACCTGGCTACGAAGCTGGCAGTCTTGTCCACAATATTCCTGACCTCTGGAGGAGGGTAAATGATTCCCACCACGGGCTTGGCTGGTGCTGCTTCCTCTTTAGGCTCCTCTTCTGGCTGTAACAACAATTATTTCATTACAAAAGGTTACAAAAATTAGGCATTCCAAACAGCAATCCCAAGGGAACACAGGGCCATTTATCCATCCTCCTCCTCAGCCCCCCAGGCACTGAATCCTTCCTGACACAAGATCTGGCTGAACAACCCAAATCATCCATCCCACTAATTAATTCCTGGGTTTCTCAGGGTGGGAGACATTTGTCTGCCTGCCAGGGGCACCCACTGCAGGGGCAGGGACAGGAGGACAGCAAGGGAGGTCCCTCCTTGGGAATCAAAACAATTCCTCAGGGCATTTTTACCACCTCAGCCTTGACCCTGAGTGGCTTTGCAAATATTTAAAGGGGCTCTAACAACACATCCTGGAACATCTCAGCGTTCCCAACCAGGTGTGGAAGTTCTGAATATTCCTAGAGGTGTGTGGGACTACAGGGAAGTAAAACCTGAGTGATTAAGTCCACATGAAATAAAACACAGCTTTTAATCCTACTGTGGTTGCACCAGAAGCTGTTTCATAGAGAAAAGCTCTGCAGGGGGTTTTCCTCACTGATACCTCAGGAGGAGCCAAACTAAAATCCCAGAACCCTCCCTGTGGATGATTTTGTATTCCAGTAAAACCAGAGGCTGATCTTTGCAGGTAACTAAAGATGTTGCTCCTTCCCTCACCAAGCAGCTTTCCAAGAAAAGCTGTTATAAATCAGGACAGGTCTATGGGAAACGTTTATAATCCTAACAGGGATCATCAGGGAAAACTTAAAATCCCAGTAAAGCTCCCAGCTCTGCCAAATCCACGGGGACTCCAAGGGGAAATCACTCCCAAGTCAAACTGATCCCTGGGAGTGTCCAAGGCCAGGTTGGACAGGGCTTGGAGCGACCTGGGCTGGTGGAAGGTGTCCCTGCCCATGGCAGGGGGTGGCACTGGATGAGATTTAAGGTCCCTTCCCACCCAAACCATTCCACGACTCCAAGAAATATGACCTTAATAAGAGTGTTGAAAGAGAAGGGTACCATGAATAATTTTAGTTTTCATTCCCCCTCAAAACACGATCCCGAGGAGCTGAAGGATCAGGCAGCACCACCCTGGAGACGCTGAGTTGCCTTGTTAACATCTGCATGAAACTAATGGGGTTTTTTTGGGGGGGAGAGGCCATGATTTCCCTCCTAAATGTGTTAATACACCCAATCACCCAAGGATTTCAGTGGGATCAGCTCCTCTCCATCTCCACGAGGGCTGATGCTGCTGTGTGAGGGTCGGGACAGCAGCTCCAGCTGCGTGGGAGTGGATTCCCATTTCAGGAAGGGCGGGAAGAATAGGAATGAGGACAAGACAGAAAGGATCCCGGAGAGTTTAATCCTTCCAAGGGCTGCTCCCAGAGCTCCCGGTGATCCCCCACACCCAACACAATCCGAGCCCTGGAGCACTGCCAGGAAAGGGCTCAGCACCCACCTGGCCCAGCAGGATGGAGCTGCCTGGTGAGGAATCCTGGAATGCTTTGGGTTAGAAGGACCTTAAAGGTCATCCCATCCCACCCCCTGCCACGGGCAGGGACACCTTCCACCAGCCCAGGTTGCTCCAAGCCTCATCCAGCCTGGCCTTGGATCCAGGAGCAGCTACAGCTTCTCTGAGCAACTTGGGCCAGCCCCTCACCACCTTCACAGCCAACAATCCCTTCCCAATCTCCCATCTATCCCTGCCCTCTGGCAGTGGGAAGCCATTCCCTGTGTCCTGTCCCTCCATCCCTTGTCCCCAGTCCCTCTCCAGCTCTCCTGGAGCCCCTTTAGGCCCTGCAAGGGGCTCTCAGGTCTCCCTGGAGCCTTCTCTTCTCCAGGTGAACCCCCCCAGCTGTCCCAGCCTGGCTCCAGAGCAGAGGGGCTCCAGCCCTGGCAGCATCTCCGTGGCCTCCTCTGGGCTCTCTCCAGCAGCTCCACGTGCTCCCTGTGCTGTTCCCAGGGCTGGGGCAGCTCTGCAGGGGGGTCTCCCCTGAGGGCTCGGGGGGATCAATCCCCTCCGAACCAGCCGCGCACAGGGCGGGACTCCCGCCTGCCACACCCGCACCGAGGGCTCAGTGCGAGCGGCCACAGCTCGCACCTTCCGTCTCGTTTTACCCCCGTCACACCCCCCATCCCCTCACAGCCCCCATCCCCTCACGGCTCCCCCTCCCGCACCGGTTTGCTCTCGGCGGGGGGCGCGGGCTGCGCCGGAGGCACGGCCTGCACGGGTCCGGCCGGCATGGTGCTGCTGGGCAAGGCGGGGCCGATCAGGGGCAGCCGGGAGTCGATCGGGGCCTGTCGGGACCGTCCGGGCCCTGTCGCGACAGCGGCACCGACGCGGGCGAAATGGCGGCCGCGGGCCTGGCGTTGCGCGTGCGCAGCGGAAGTGACGCAGCACCGCCAGGGGGCGCAGAGTGCCGGGAGCGGGAGGAGGGAACACGACACAGAGCGCGCGCGCTGCGGGCCGTACCATGAGCGGGCTCCGCGGGGGGAGCCCCCCCAGAGCGGCGCGTACCACTACGGGCCGGGGGGGGCATCGCCATGGCAACGGGGCTGGGACGCCGCGGCCTAGCGCAGGGCCCGGGCCCGGCCCCGGCCCCTCCTCCTCCTCCTCCTCCCCGCCGTTCACCCTCCTTCCTCCCGGTTCCTCCCCGGTCCCTCTGCTTCCCCAGCCCTCTTTGAGCCCCCCGGGCCCGGTGCCACCGTGCCGGTCCCTCTCCAGCGGGCTGTCCCGGTAGGGCGTTCCCTCCATCCCATACCCAGTGACCCCAGCACACCCTGGCCCGGTGGCCCCGCGGTTCCCAGCCCGTGTCCCAGCGCACACCATGGCGCACCTGCTGGGCCACCGCGGCTGCATGGAGAGCCTGCGAGCCGACCTGCAGGACCTGCAGGCCGCCATCGCCGATGTGACCTCGCGGGCCGGCGCCGTGCGCTGCCCGTCGTGGAAGTTCCCCGACAAGCTGTCCTGCGACCTGGACATGGCGCTGCTGCTGCAGCGGTACAGGCACAGCGAGAGCGAGCCCGAGTTCAGCCAGCACTCACACGTGGTGCTGCTGGAGCTGCTCATTGACAGGTGAGACAGCCCTGAGCGCCCCAGAGGGAAGGGGGCTGTGGGTCCCACCTGCTGAGCTCAGCCGAGTCCTGGGGCAGCTCTGGGCACCTCAGTACAACAAGGACGTAAAGCTGTGTCCAAAGGAGGGCTGAGAGGATGGTGAAAGACCTTGAGGAGAAGCTGAGGGTGAGGGCACTTGGCTTGTTCAGCTGCAGGAGACTGAGGTCAGAGCTCCAGGGTCTGCAGCTTCCTCATGAGGGGCAGGACTGAGCTCTGCTCTGTTTGACCAGGGACAGGACCCAGGGAATGGCTGGAGCTGTGTCAGGGCAGGCTCAGGTTGGATCTCAGGGAAAGGTTCTTCCCCCAGAGGGTGGTTGGCACTGAACAGGCTCCCCAGGGCAGTGGGCACAGCCCCAAGGCTGCCAGAGCTGCAGGAGGGTTTGGACAACACTCTGAGGGACAGGGTGGGATCGTTGGAGTGCCTGTGCAGGGCCAGGGGTTGGGCTGGATGATCCTTGTGGATCCCTTCCAACTGAGATATTCCAACTGCTTTCTCCCACATACTTCCATGATGAGCAGTGCCAGCACCTCAGCACTTCACCCTCATGCACTGCAGCTCAACCTTGAGATTTAAAACCCAACTCCTCTCCCTTCTCAGAGCTCCAAACTGGCCACAAAGGAGCAGAGCCAGCCACTGCTCCAGCTGGGAGCTGAGGGGGCGTGGGCAGATGGGATAGGCTTGTTAATCTGCCTCCCAAAACCTTGGAAACATTCAGGCACAGCTACACAAACAGCCCTGGGAGGGTAAAGCCCCTCCTGCCGTGTGGGTGCAATAAATACAGCCCTGATTTAAAAGATGAGCCGTTCCCTCACGGCTGCTGGCCCTAAAAATTAGGACTGGTGCCCCAAACCTTTAGAGAGAGCTTAATCACAGCCAGTGTGCACAGCCTGACTCTGATCCCACCAAATGCCGCTTCATGGAGTGATCCCGGCCCCCCGGGGGAGGAACCGGGAGCACCGATCCCACCCTCCTGCGCCGCGCTGGCTTCGTGCGGGGCACGGGGAGGGGGCCGCCCTCTCCCAGCTCCCATTCCCGCTCCCTGGGGCTCCAAGGCGTGTTCTCCTGCCGGGACAGGCTCCTGCTGCTGCTGCAGAGCTTCACGGGCTACGCGGAGATGGTGCTGTGCGGGCGTGCGGTGCCGCCGGCGCGGGGCACGGGGCCCTGCATGTCCGCGGGGCTCACGGCCAGGAGGTTCTGGAGCACCATGCTGAGACTAGGGGCCTTCTGCCAGCAGCTCCAGCACCAGGTGGGACATCTGGGGTCGCCCCCCTGGGACTTGGACCGCGGTGCTTCTCTGGGACATCCTGGGGACGTGGAAAATACTCTCCTCCTACCAAAACGCTGCAGTTCTGCCGGCCCCCACTGAGGGGCTGACCTGCTTCAAATCAGTGAAATAACTGCTAGTAAAAACACCACGTCCCTCCCCTGCATTTTATTTTCCCAAAAAAGTTATTTCTCATGGAGAAATCTCACAGTAAGCCACGTGGCACACCCAGGAGACAGCACAGGGGGTGGGAAGGAAGGGATGGTCACAAGAAGGGGAGGTGGGGAGCGGGTTCTGCTGCTGAGGCTGCCCCTTGGTCACTGTCCCTCGGCTGCGCTGCTGTCCCGTTCCCACAGCTCACACCTCGGATTTGGGCTCTTATGGATCGTTTCCAGTTCCATCGGGGCGCTGGTCCTGTTCTGTGCTCTCTCCCTCAGGACAAGGATTGCAGGAAGGAGGTCCCCACACAGCAATCCCCTCCTCCCTCTCCGGGCAGTTGGGGCAGCTCCCAGCCCAGGGCTGGCCCCAGCCTGGCCCAGGGCACCCGCAGTGTCCCCACCCAGACCTCGAGGTGCCCCCTGGGCTCCTGTGACAGCTGCTCCAGCGCCCAGGCCAGCTTAAGGGAGGTGGGCAGGGCCATCAGCAGCCTCTGCCAGAGCCAGAACATCCCCTCAGCCCTCAGCAAATTCCAGGAGGTGCTGGAGGACAGCGCCGGGAGAAGGAGGCTCTCTGCCACAGACCTGAGCTACTGGGCCTCGGAGCAGAGCAAGGATCTCTCCCGGATCAACAAACACCTCCAGGAGCTGCTGCAGCAGCTGAACCCCGTGAAGGCTGAGCTGGAAGAGGTGGGGAAACAGAAGGAGGAGCTGAGGAAACAAGTGGAGGACTTTTCCCAGAAGCTGCAGGCAGAGAAGGAGACCCAAGTGCAGCAGCAGAGGAAGGCAGAGCAGAGCCTGAAAGCCAAGGACAAGGAGCATTCGGAGGCTGTGGCCAGGCTGGAACGGGATAAGGATGATCTAAGGAGAGGTACGGAGCTGTGCCCAGTGTCCCCTCCCAGGCCTGGGGGTATTGCAGGAGAAGCACAGAGTTCATGGGCAAATTTGGGCCCCACCACCAGGAGCAGGGCTTTGGCCATGGATTTTTGTAGGTGCTGGGGGATTTTCCCTGCTGTGAGGATAATCCCAGGCAGCAGGAGCTGGTTGTCCATGCCCTGTCACTGCCCCCTCCCTGCTGCAGCACAACAAAATCACTGGATGAAAAAACTTTGGTGGGGCTGTTTTCTGCTTCGCTTTAGGTTTTTTTGAGGAGCTGATTAATTGGAGGCATTTTTTAATGCTGATTTAGGAGCGGCTCTGCTGGAGGAGCGACTCTCCAGCCTGAAGGAGGAGCTGGAAGTGAAGCAGGCAGCTCTGCAGGAGCTGGGTAAGGATCCCCAGGGTCACCGAGCTCACATATCTCCCCCACCCTCGCCCCTCTCACGGTGTTTCACACCCCAATGCACCCAGACCAGACTGTAGAGCTGGTGGAGATTTGGGGGTCACAGCTGTCCTGTCAGACCTTCCCCCCCACTTGCCAGGGCCTGTGCAGGGCACTGGGGGCCCCTAAATCATAGAATCATGGAATGGTTTGGGTTGGAAGGACCTTAAAGCCCATTCAGATCCACCCCCTGCCATGGGCAAAGACACTTTCCACTAGTCCCAGGTTGCTCCAAGCCCTGTCCAACCTGACCTTGGACACTTCCTCCCCCTTATGCTGTCCCTCCATGCCTTGTTCCCAGTCCCTCTCCAGCTCTCCTGGAGCCCCTTTAGGCCCTGCAAGGGGCTCTCAGGTCTCCCTGGAGCCTTCTCTTCTCCAGGTGAACCCCCGCAGCTGTCCCAGCCTGGCTCCAGAGGGGCTCCAGCCCTTGGAGCATCTCCGTGGACCTCCAGCTTGTTCCCCCCTGCTCAGCCTGGGCCGCGGCTGCTGTGTCTCCCCAGAGCTCACCAAGACCACCTTGCTGGAGGAGATGAAGACGACCATGGTGGCCCGGAGCCAGATGCTGGAGCTGGAGGAGAAGGTGCAGATGCTCACAGGGCAGCGGGACAGCCTGGACCGGGAGTTGAGTGCCACCAGCACGGAGCTGGAGAAGGAGAAGGTGCGAGTGCAGAGTGTGCTGCTGCACGAGGAGGTACGGCTGGCCCCGGAGCTGCTCCCAGCACCAGGGTGGGGAGAGCGGGTGCCACAGCCCCACACAGCCTCACCCACCCCCACAGTCCCTGCAGGCCAAGCAGAGGCTCCTGCTGCAGCAGCTGGACAGGCTGGACCGGGAGCGGGAGGAGCTGCAGAACGGCCTGGGAGAGGCCGAGGAGGACAAGGCCCGGCTGGAGGAGCAGCTGGAGCAGAGCCGGGAGCAGAGCCAGAAACAGCTCCAGGCGCAGCAGGTGAGAGTTGGTACCCACCCAGGTGTGGGACACAGCTGTGCCACGGGGTGTCCAGAGCCACACCGTGCCCTGACCCACACCCACAGCCAGAGTTTTCCAGGAGGGGCACTCTGGAGGACCCAGGGTGACATTGCCATGTGGTCATCCCTCCCAGGACTCTCCCTCAGCCCCTTGCAGTGCAGACAGGTCTCCACTGATTTTCCCCATGCCCAAGACAGCAGGAAGGGACACCTCAGGCTGCTCCCACATCTCCAGGGTGCCCATTCCTGGACATATTCCATATTTCATGGTCAGTGCTGCTGCTTACAGGTCACACCTTAGTGCTGAAACCCCGCCCATTATTCCTGTCCCTTTCTCAACTTCATGGGACAGCCTTACTGCGTGAGAAAGGGAGGGAGTTTTCCATGGAAGTCTGAGTGCTCCCATGGGATTTCTCATCCTGCAAACCTCCCCTCCTCCCCACGGTGCCATGCAGGAGCTGCTGGACACGCTGCAGCAGGAGAAACTGGCCCTGGAGCAATCCATCCTGGAGCTGCAGGCAAACACATCCCGGCTGGAGGAGCAGGCACAGGAGCTGAGGGAGCGGGAGAGGCTCCTGGTGTTCTTCCCTGAGCTCCACGTCCCCACCGAGGTGCAGTTTGAGAGTAAGGGAGTAGCAATACCCTTGGCTTGTGCCTTTGGGGTCTCCCAGGGGATCCTGCCGGCCCCAGACATGCAGTTTGTCCCACTGATATCCAGGAAGAGCTCAGGCCCTGGGCTGTGCTAAGCTGTGACCATCCCAACGTGCTTCCCTGTGTGGGTGCCATGCATCCCACCTCCAGGCCAGGAATTACAGCAGGACCAGGACATGGCAGAACTTCATTTGCCCACAGGGTTTGGGGTCCCAGCTGCCACTCCCAGGCTGTGCCCGTGTTCCCAGGCAGGGGCAGGCTCCTTTCCTTGGGAGGCAGGAGGGATGGCCACACCTCTGAGCAGGCTGAGCTCTGCTGGATTTTGCCTGCAGGCACTGGAAACTTGACAGAGGACATGGAGAATCAGCTCCAAGCCAACATCATCCGGATCGGGGTGCTGGAGCGGGAGAACGCGCGGCTTGGCACGGTGCTGGCCAAGGTGAAGGCAGCTGCCCAGCAGGGTGTGCTCAAGGTGAGCTGGGGCCATGGGGCAGAGGGGTGGGTGCTGTGCACCCCTAAACCACCCCATAGCCCCCAGACATCTTCTGGGGACCCCAAGAGGGCCAGGCTGGGATCCTCATGCTGCTGGGAGGCCGCTCTGGTTTAACTGGTGTTGGCCGAGGTGCCCAGGGCCAGTTCCAGCGGTGACACCTCCAGGCCAGAGAAGAAGGGCTGTGACTGGAGCTGAACGCTGAGGGATGTGGAATTTCACCCCCTCTTCTCTTCCCTGCCTCAGCTAGTCCCACAGGCCCAGCTGGGGTCCCAGCTCCACGGGAAGGCCAGTGGGCAGGACACACGGTGAGTAGGAACCCAGAGAAAGGGGCTGGGAGGTTCCCTGCTCTTCTCTCTAACTGCTCCCACCCCTGTAGGTGTCCCAGCAGGGGAGGCAGCAGCAACAGCAGGGACAGCAGAGGGATGCCAGGATGCATGGACAAGGCCTGGCATCGAGTTCCCAGCAGCCAGCACTCCAAGCTGCTCCGGGCAGAGCCCACATTCCAGGCCAGACCCTGCCTGTCGCTCCCCGTGGGACGCCTGGGGCTCGACCCCTCTTGCACCACACGGGGACCCACCACAAATAAACACTGATGAGCTGATCTTCTAACAGAGAAATGAACTGCTCCATGAGCAGCCACCTGCCCTGCCCAGGGGGACCTTGTTATCTGCTCTTTGTGCATCAGGAATGCACATTCCCTTGGGAAACCTGGGCTCTGCCTGTTCCTTGCAGAGCTGCTCCAGGGACGTTCCTAGGCGCTGGAGCTCAGTCACCCCTGGCTACACCGCTGCTGGAGGCCCCAGCACAGCCCTGCCCGTGCCAAAGCCTGGGCACTGTGTGTGTTAGTTCCTGCCAGGAACAATTCCCATGAGGGGACTGGGATGTGGCCACACTTGAAGACGAAGGCAGAGCTGGGCTGGGATGAAGGAATCCCAGCCACCCTTGGCCCACCAGCACAGCCACAGCCTGGGAAAGGCATTCCCGCTCCATGAGCACCCAGAGGGGCTGGGGACCACCAAGCCACTGGCACAGGCTGGCCCTGACCTCCGAGCTGCCCCGTGAGCCCCACACAAGCCACACAGCCAGTCCTTGCTCTGTGTTTAATAGGGATGGACATGTGCCACGCTGCAGCCTGTGGGGCAGGAGCTGGGCAGGGCTCATGGCATGTCCCCGCTCACTGTGTTGGGTGAGAGGAGCCCACTGGTGGCTCTGCAGCCGACTCGTGCCATCCTTTCTAATAAGTTACTATAAATAAAGCCTTACCCCCTGCCCTCCCACAGCCTTGCCAGCCCCAGCCCTGGCAGGTCTGTCCCCCACCTCCCCGAGGGGCTGGTGCCATAGCTGGGCTCTGCTCACCCTGCCATGGCCACCAGCAAATAGACAAAAAACCCAAGACTTAGAAAAATTCCCATGAGCAGGGCAAGGGTGGCAGGGTCAGGACCCTCCCTACCCCCGGCCCCCACCCCGTTACACCCATGGGTGCCCCCCTAGCTTCCCTACCTGGACTGCCCGTCTGGACCCCCCACCCCTCAGAGAGCCCCGAGTCCTTCCCTCTGCAGTGTCCGGGCGCTGTGGTGGCACAGCCACACTGACCCAGCTCTGGCAGCAGGTGCCACTCCCTCTCCCCGGAGTGGCTGTGGGTCTGTCCCTGGAGTGTCCTTGGGCCCGCTAGCTGTCCGTGCAGCAGTTCCCTGCAAGGGAGAAGGGTGGAGAGCCATGGCACGGGGAGCCTGGAGAGCTCTCAGTGCTCCCCAGCCCGTGCCCCAGGGTGACCAGGGGGTCCCGGCTGGGTGCCATGGCGGTTCTCACCCAGGATGTTGCGCTTGCAGAGAGGGCAGGTCTGCTGCAGCAGGAGCCAGGGATCCACACAGTCCCGGTGGAACTCGTGGGAGCAGGGCAGCACCCGCAGCCACTGCCGGCAGGGATGGGAGGGCACACGTGAATGGACCCAGCAGGGACACAGCTGGACCCTGGCGGGGACATGGCCGGACCCAGCAGGGACAGCCTGCCCCAGGGTGGCACCAGCACCGGTGTCCCCAGGCCAGGCTCCAGGCCCCCCAGTCCCACCTGGCTCTTGTGGAACTGGTCCAAGCACACAGCACAGCTATCGATCTCACAGGCCCGGCTCCGCGGCGGCTTCCCGGGGTGGTACCGACGGGTTTTCAGCGCCAGCAGCCGCCGGCGGATGTGCTGCTTCAGGTCCAGCTGCAAGGGCAGAGACGGGCGTCAGGGGCAGAGCCAGGGGTCAGGGGCAGAGCTGAGGGGCAGGGGCAGAGCAGGAGGGCAGGGGCAGAGCCCACCTGCCACTGCCCCTGGCACAGGGCACAGCGGGAACATTCCCACCTCGGTATCCCGCTCCGACAGGTCCTGCCGCGACTGGCGCTGTGCCTGCACCATGACCCCAGTGCAGAGCAGCAGGGCGATCAGCAGGATGGTGTTCCACAGCTGCTGCAGGTACTTCTGTGGGAATGGCACAGTTGGGGGGTTGAGCCTGAGACCTCTCCCCACTCCCAGCCCTGGCAGGACCCCCCGGTGCCGTACCTGGACCTGCGAGCTGCTCTCCCCAGGGCAGATGACCCCCTGCCACTCCCCGTAGAGGCCCCCTCGGGACAGGCCACACGTGGACCACAGGGTGAGGGTCACCCCCTGCAAGGCAGGACACGGCATTGCCGACAGCCACGGCAGAATCCAGTGACGGGAGCACACGTGTTCCGGGGAGGAGGAACGGTGGCACTGCCACCTGCCCCGCTCCCACGGGGACACTGGGACACTGTGGGGCTGGGCACTGTGCCCTGCAGCTGCTCCCCGTGGCTCGGGGAAGTTTGGCTGGGCACACTCTCTGGGAGAGAGAGGAGGAGGAAGGACCTACATACCAGGTTCTCCAGCAGCACCGCCTGGTACGTGATCTTTGCTGTGGCCCGGAGCCCACTGTGAGCAAAAAGGAGCGTCAGTTCCATGGGCACAGCAAGATCTGGGCACAGACCCCAATGCCAGGGAACACCCCCTTCCCGGGACTGGCAGCACAGGATGGGGACTAGGGGGGACAGAGGAACACACAGGAGGTGGCAGCGAGACCCTCCCTCCCCAGCCATGCCCAGCCCTCAGTGACCCTGCCCAGGGCTCTTCCTCCCAGCCCTGTGCCTCAGTTTCCACATCTGTGACTCCAAGGCAGCAATCCCAATGTCCCACATGTCAGGAGGACCGAAGGGGTCCCACTGCTGCAGCTGGTGAGGACAAACTACCCCAGAATCGTTTGGGATGCCGGTGCCACGCTAAGAACCAGCCAGGCTGGATAATTTGTACCGAGAGTCCTAAAGCTCTTGGCTGAGGCCACTGTCACCCCTGCTGCCACGTGGGGACACATGGAAGGGCTCCCAAAACCCCACTGGAAACACGTGGGTCAGCCTGGCATGGCACAGGCAGTACCAGTCCAGCAAACATGACACACTGGGTAAGAGATCCCCAGGGCAGCCCCTGGGTGTCACAGCGGGGCAGGGGACAAGGAAGGGACAAGGAAGGGACAAGGCAGGGACCAGGCAGGGATAAGGCAGGGAAAGGCAGTGCCCAGCCCGTACCGCAGCAGCGCTCCCAGCAGCCTGGTGACGTTGTCGGAGGACTGGATGACGATGACGGGCTTGGCGAGGAGCTGGGACACGTCCAGCTACAGGGGGAGGGAGGCAGAGCTGCCAGGGGGCCCAACCCTGGCCCAGCCCCCCAGAGGCACTGCCCTACCTCCCGGATGGCGTTCTGGTTCAGCGCCAGGATGAGCAGGGCCGAGGCCCCCAGCACCAGGGCTCGCTTCATCTGCAGGGACAGCAGGGACACACTCAGGGGCAGCTCAGTGTGTCCCTGCCAGCCCCTGTCCTGCTGCAGGGAGCACCCTGTGCCTCTTTGAGGTCACAGGGGACCCGAAACAGCCCTGTCAAGGACCCCTCTGGCATCAAGCACAAGGCAGGACCCCCAACATCTGGTGAGAAGACACCCCAGCTGACACCTCTGAAGGCTTGTGACCCACCAACACCATGGCAGCCCCCGGGCCAGGCAGAGAGAACAAGGACTAGGGCCAGGCAGAGGGGACAGGGATGGGCAGAGGGGACAGGGATGGAGCAGAGGGGACAGGGATGGGCAGAGGGGACAGGGATGGGCAGAGGGGACAGGGAAGGGGCAGAGGGGACAGGGATGGGGCAGAGGGAACAGGGAAGGGGCAGAGGGGACAGGGAAGGGGCAGAGGGGACAGGGAAGGGGCAGAGGGGACAGGGAAGAGGCAGAGGGGACAGGGAAGAGGCAGAGGGGACAGGGATGGGCAGAGGGGACAGGGCTGAGCAGAGAGATTGAGGACCAGGACCAGGGCCAGGCAGGGGGGACAGAGATGGGCAGAGGGGACAGGGCCAGGCAGGAGGTCACCTTGGTGACAACGGCGGTGGTGAAGGACTCCTCCTTGGCCCCGCGGGGGCCCTCAGGCGGCTCCTCAGTGCCCACGGGCACCACCCCGATCCAGCTGTCGGCACTGCCCAGCTCCGGCTCCGCCTCACCCACCTGGGGTGGCAGGGAGAGGGACAGCCAGGATGGACACTGAGGCTCTGGGCACGTCCAAAGCACAGGGTAGCACAGGGTGGCACAGGGACAGGGGCTGGCCCTGCCTGCACCTCCCCTGTTCTGCTGGGCACCCCCGGGCAGCGGGACCCCCTTGCTGCTCAAGTGTCCCCCAGTGGCCCTGCCCTCCCCACCAACCCCCAGTGCCTCCCAGTGCCCTCCACTTCCCACTGCTCCACACTCCCCATTCCCCTCCCAGTGCCCCAAGATACCCCCAGTGCCCACTGTCTCAGCTCACACCAATCCCCCTCCCTCGCACATCGACCACTAAGCACTGCCAATGCCCACTGGCCCCCAGTGTCTCCCAGTGCTCTCCAGTTCCCACAGGCCCCCTTCCCTGCCCACCGCCCCACATGCAATTGGCTCCCAGTGCCCCCCAGTATCCACTGCTCCCCTCCTTCCTCTCCCTGTGTCCCCAGCCCCCAGCCCCATTCCCGGTTCCCCTGCTCACCAGCACCAGGCGGCCGCGGATTTCCATCTCCTCCCGCTCCCCCGCGGGCCCCCGGCCCGGCCCGGCCCGGCCTCCCCCCGCGCCCAGCACGGCCCCGCGCAGCGTGTACGAGCCGCCGGCTGCCGCGGCCCCGTCCCGCTCGGGCCCCGCCGGCCCGGGCCCCGACACGGCCACCTCGACCCGCGCGGGGGTGGCGGGGCCCGGCCCGGCCCGGCCCAGCGCCAGCAGCGGGGCGAGCAGGGCCGCCCGCAGCGCCGCCATGGCCGCTCCGCCCGCGCCGCCGCGCCCCCTGCCGGCTGGGAGGACCGCCCGCCCCGCCGACACTGCCGCAGCGCCCCCCAGCGCCCCCTGCTGGCGGGGAGGACCCTCAGCGCCGCGGGCAGGGGGAGCCCGGGAGACCGAACCGGGATCGGGATGGGATCGGGATGGGATCGGGATCGGATCGGGATCGGGATGGGGATCGGGATCGGGATGGGGAGAGGGAGAGGGAGAGGGAGAGGGAGAGGGACCAGAACAAGGACAGGGATAGGAATAAGAATAGGGATAGGG